TTAATAGTTTTTGCCATGATCAAGGGATCTTTTTGTAGGTTAAAATATTAGTTTGGTCTGTAATACTTTCAATTTTGATTCATTTTAGTTCATTTATTTCAAAAGATTCATTTTTGGTCATGTACTTTTCAGAAGTGACTATTTTAGTTTTTTAATTTTATTTTTAATCTCATTTTTCTATCATAATTTCAACACAACACTATATATTCAATATATTTATTGAAATATAACCGTGACTTTATATGGAAAAAATTTCCGTTAGGTATAGAATTTGTGTTAAGATTTTGTAAATCGGGACCAAAATAATCATTTTTTAATAGTACCAAAGTTAAAACAAACATTCTGAATATATAATAATGATTAAAATAAACCAAAGTTAAAATATACGAAGCAAAATCAACATAGACACAAAAAAATAGAGGTACTAAAATAGTATTTTAACTTTTTTTTTCCTAATTAGATCTCTGGATGCAAAAAAAAAATAAAATAATAATAAAAATCCTAATGAACTTAGAAAACTCTCCCAAAATCCAAAATATTTTCTAAAATGCCCCTTTATTCTATGTTGAAAGAAAAATTTAAATATTTTTTGGTTCAAGAATTTGACTTTATTCATTTTATCAAGTTTAATTTTCAAAATGTTAATTTATGTTTCTAAAATTTTAAAAAGTTATCCTTTTAACTCATATTTATAAAATTTTATAAATAACGGAAACTTTTTAATACAAATTTATTACCACATTTCAAGAAATTTAGTGCGGTAAAGTTTCCGTTTCTTGTTTTTCATTTTCAATTTTCTTAAGATTTCTAAGCATTTTCAACTAATTATATTTCTTGTTTCTATTTTTTTTAGTAGATTCTCAAAAAATTGTAGAGAAATTTTGAAAACAACTAAAATAAATTTCTTTTTTCTGTTCCTATTTCCAATTTGTTCCAAAACATAAATGAAAAAATTGTTTGATCATATTTAGATTCATGATGGTTGGGATCATGCAATTTATTTTTCTTTATTAAAAATGAAGAAACATAAACAAAAAACAAGCATGTTATCAAACGAGTCMTTAATGAACCAAGTATCATGCTAAAATTTTGATAAAAATAAATAAGATAAAAATGAAATAAAGAAATCAAAATAGTCGTTTTTTATAGTATAATAACTAAAACAAACGATCTAAAAAGTACATGAACTAAAATAAACAAAAACTAAAACGAATATTTTGAAACTATAGATACTAAAATAAACCAAAATCGAAATCAACGACCCAAAAGAGTTGAAAACCAATGAATTATTTATTATTATAAATTGATGGAGAATTTGAAAGGGATGTGAGATAGTTGGGATGGGAGAGCACTATCATATGAGCTGGAGCCATGATTTCAAGTGGCCCCCACCAAAAATATTAAATTAAAATTGAAAAAAAATAAAACACTCCAATCAATTTCACCATTAATAAATATGAACCACATTACATTACATATCACCAACTTTTCACCCATTTCTCAACCATATTATTTTTCCCCCTAATTTAATGCTTCTTTTTTCCTTCTTTATATAATCTTTTTTTAAAAAAAAAAAAAAACACTACTACCAACCTGAGTACAGTTTTATATCTCTAACTTATCTTGTATTTAAATTGACCCTACGTGGTATTAAAAAGATTTACTTTCAACATATGGGGTGGAAAATCGAACTCACACACTCTTGATTTGAGATATATACAAATTACAACTGATTTATGTTCGGTTTGACATTTACTTTCCAATTAATCGTTCAATCCTTTTTGAATAAATGTCTTGTCGAATTGCCCTCTCTCGAGCCCCTCTTTCATCAAAATTCCTAATCCTAGTATGGCTTTATAGCTTTAACATTTTACAGGAAACCCTTCTCTATATCTCTCAATGATTCTTCTTTTCACTTTCAAAGATGTGAATGGGGGCTTCATTTTTTGTTGTTTTGTAAATTTTAGAGATGGGTTCTTGCAAATAATTTATATTGTTTCGCTGCAAATGTTTTTTTCTTTCTAAGTTTTTGGGCTTTCGAGATTTAGCTATATTAATGAGAATATCAAAAGGCTTGATCTATTTGCTGTCAAAGGGAAAGTCCACGATAAATAGCATAAAGTTGTATGTTGAGGAATCAATAATGTGTAGCTAGGAGATTGTGGAATATTTTTGTTTTGTACTGAAATATGGACCACACAATAGTACAGTTATATTATTGGACTATTTAATGGCCTGGTGATTTATGATTGAGTCACTTCCTCGACGTTTTTCTAGCATAAACGGTAGAGTAGATACTCAATAACTCTTACCGTGTTTATAACGAGAATTTTATAGTTTTGTTGTGCTTAGTTGTGGAAGATCTTGTAATGTGAGGATTGTTATTTACGTTATACAATAATATGACTTTACAACTTTGTTCTTTTAATTCTGATATATATTGTGGAGTTTCAACTTTAGATCAAAGTCTATAGCTTTTCAAAAAAATTAGTTTTTCTCACTTAAATAATTGTTTGACATTAGATTACTTTTTCCCATTTTTTCCCCTTTTTTGATATCAATAACTTTTATAATAATCATTGTGTCCAAGAAAATTCTTTTGAGAATGCACTCAACAAAGTCTTTCCTTAAAACTAAAAGAAAAAATTAAAAATTAGGTCATAGGCGTCTTTACTAGCTCTTTTGTGGTGGTCAATTTCATCGGTACATAGTTATGACAATAATAACATTTAAAACCAAATTCTTGTACCAAAGCGAGCATAACTCAACGGTAATTGCACCCCCTAATCACGTTGCAACTAATGAAACTATACCAGTATGGTTTGATCGAACTCTTAAGAAGAGCGGTTGAAATTGAAAGCTTGTAGCAAAAATCATACTTTCCACTCTACTAAAATAAAGATATTTTCTTTTAAGGTCATACCAAACCCTAAAGAAAAACATTATATTAAATTTCATTTAGATAAAAAAAAAAAAGAAATGGAGAGAAGAAAATGGTGTGAAATGGATAATATTATATTATGGTATGTACTTGAAATTGGTTGGGTGTGTTTGTGAGGATAGGGAAGCAGCAGCCGAACAGAGCACAAAGACTTTGCTTTAAATAATAATGAAATGTCGTCGTTTTGAGGCCCATTAGCCCATTCTAAAGGTACTTCCCCCCATTTCCTTAGGACACTCCTACCCTCTCCATTTACTCCATCGTCTCGTTCATTCGTTTGGTGCTCACCGATTAGTAGACTTCGTTAAAAGAATTGACAGCTAAGAGATGAATGCATAAAAAAAAAGAAAGAAAATAGATTAAAAAGTACGTAGCTGTAAAGTTTTTAACGATGGTGTAAGTAAAATATTATTCATTTTTTAATTTGTTGAAGCAAATGACTTTTTTTTTTTAACACAACATGTCAAGATGGGGATTCAAACTCACGACATTTTAATTAGAGATAAAATGTTTTAATCAACTAAGTTAAGTTTAGGTTGGCTGAAATAAATGATAGAAAGTAAAAATAATAAACCTTGAGATAGATAAGTGCTCGGGATATAGAGGAGCAAAGTTCCAACTCCTAGTTATAAAAAAGGAAAAAAAAATGAGTAAAAGTAAAAAAAAAAAATGGTTAAATAATATGAGATATTTTCTCTTTCCTCAAAAGAAAAAAAGAAAAGTTATTAAAATGAAAGAAGTATTTTGATTAAAATTTCCGTGAGGGATATGTAATAAAATAATTAATATTGGGAGATAAAAAAAGGAAGTAGAGGCTGATGGGCCCGGGGGAGGCGACAAGTCGAGTCAGGTCGTGGGCCGGAAAGTGGGCCGATATGTTGGGAGGACCAGTGGAAGGGGCCCATAAGTGAAGTGGGGCCCATGGTGGAGTAAATTATTATTTTAAATTTAAAAATTTAGGGAGTGGGGCCCAGAATTGTGGAAATGGTGATGGTGAAATGGGGATAGATAAAAGGGAAGGCTGTTGTCAAGCTGTCTAGGAAATGTCGTCTCTCTCCCAAACTTGTTCGATCTCGGAGAAAAGTCCAGTACAACGAGAGTATCATACGTCGTTTGTTTACACAATAAACAGAAGGAATAGATCTCACATCATTTATGATTATGACTAAACCTCAAGCTCTTATTTTGAGGAGTCAACATCCATCTCTTGCTGATCATCATTAAATTTTTGATAAATATTAAAAAAATTCAGAAAAAGAGAACTTAATTTGTGAAGATAGGTACTAATCGGTCAACACGCAAATATTTTTTCCTTCCTATTGAGAATTGTTTTTTTATATAGAAAAGTACTCATGATGCATTTTGAAGGGTCAAACTCATGAATTATGTGTCGAACTCAACGCGTAGGTCTAGCTAGTTATTTGGGGCTTAAGCTACATAGGCTAGACTTAGCTTCGACCAAAGTCTAATGAACTTAGCTATCTAGGTCAAGCTAGTCCAATCTCTAACAAGTAAACTCACGAGTCGCTACTAGCTAGGATTGAGCCTTTTAGATAGAAACGTTGAAAATATATACTTTATAATTAATTTTTTAAAAATTATTTTCCTAGGGCGATAGCAAGAATGATCCTATTAAAATGTAAAATTAAAGAAATAGCCTATCCAACTATGAAATTACAATAATGGTCAAATTTGAAATTTGATTAGTATTGGATATTTCATGAATCAAGGATTTTTTTTTTCCTTTTTATTACCACATGTGGGATGGAGATCAAAGATTGACCTTTTTAATATCAAATAAATCAACATAATTTGAATCGCCAGGAAAAAAAATCCAAGAAAACAAAAACCCAATTAATGGATGTTTTTGTACAAATCTCACTCAAAATTATCTTCTTCTTCTTCATTTTTTTTTTTTGGGTTAAAATAGCGTCTAAACATAAGCTCTACTTATAAAATTTTTCTTCTGAAGGATATTACTTTTCAGAAATTCAAGGAGTGATTTTGTATTCTCAATATTAATCAATAATACTCGTAGACTAATCTAGAACATGTTGGATTCTCATTGAAATGGAGACAGATTTATTAATAGAATAAAATAAGATGTCATTAATTCACAATATTTCAGTTATAACACTAAAGTTTGGATCTACGTACCCCTTTACTTGCAGTTGCAGGAATCTGCAGTGCATCGTAATGGCCAAAACCATGGTACAGAACTCTGATTGGATTTTCTTTCCCATATTCATCGCCATATTCAGCAATGGATATCAACCCACCAGAATCTTTATCATACATGTACACAATTATAGGAGCACTGCAGCAGAAATCAGAGTCTTCACCACAACAATTCATTAATAAGCACAGTAGAGAGAGCGAAACAGAGATAGAGAGCTTACTGAAGAACATGTGAGGCCATGAATAACTCAGGCTCGCCTCCCCATATGTGTGGTTTTCGCATATTTGACACGTACCTATCGAAATCACCTTCAACAAACCTGTTGAGCAACATAAGGAGGAAAACCCAATTTCAGGAACTGTTCATGTTTTTATTCTAATGCACTGGTTTTATCCTACTCGGTTAGAGAGTTCGAGTCGGGGGTCGAGAGAGATTCACCATTCCGTTTCCTTGCGTCGTTTGATGAACTCATCTGCAACCTGAAAAATATGTGATCTACGATCATTATAAGTAAGGGGGAATTATATACATTTTTGCAAAGAAATTGGTTCAAAACATGCAATCTTGACAGCTACAGTAGGGTGTGCAACCATGGTATTCTCCTAAAAACATACTTTATTCCGCAACTCATCTGCCAAATCCCTCTGAAGGCTCTCACTTGGAGCCGCTTTCCCGGATCGCAAACAAGCACCATGTGCAACAGAGCGGAACAAACATCTTCCATCTCCAGGAATTCCTATCCAGAACAAACAGGTTGCTTACATTACCACATTTCCCTTTATCCTATGGTACTTTGCTTATGGGATTTACAAACAATTATCTATTTGATCATATAACATAAAAGAAGGGAATAGAAGACTTCGAAGCTCACCGATAACAGAATAGTCGGTGTAAACCGTCTTTCCATGAGAGAATTTGACAGGAGAAGAATCAGAGTTTTCTTCATTATCTTCTTTCTCACAAGCTGCTTCAGCATGGACTGGTTCAGAACTTGAATAACAAACCACCCAACCAAAAACTAAGCCAGCAGATGCACATCTTTCTGGCCATCGCATGTTATGCTTGATTTTGCTAAACCCATCATTAGTGATTGAGAGCTTCACATTCATACCTTTGCATGCCAATGAAATTTCAAGTCCTCGTCCATGCGATCCCCCATCAGTGATCAAATCTTTAACTGTTAAATTCTTGAAGTCAATCGGCTGTCTGGAGAAGCAGTAACTGAGACAGCCTCCCGGAAATCTTTGGCTAGTATTTGGTGTACAAGATGATATCGTGGTTACAGATTGATCGGCATATTTTGGTCTTGAAATGCCATATGAACAGCATGAATTTGATATTCTTGGGGAAAGCACTGAACATATGTTGCTGCCCATCTGCATGGGAACACGGGAGTTCAGATGGACAACATTCCTCGTGCAAGCACTGATTGAACCAATATTCATGCTGGTTTAGCCTGAGGAATTAACAGAAGAAAAAAGAGGAACAAATCAGTAATCAGAAGCTTTCCATTGGTACAAAATGCCAGAATTATTCACGTTTTAATTGGACCTAGAAAACAAGAAAAACGAGCAACCTACTGTGCCAAAGTGATATTTCACAATAGATAACCAATTCAACTATCTTATAATATCCAACCTCGATATTCGTTCAGCCACTTTAAAATTAATAGTCCTTCACTACGTTGCATTAACATTTTGTTACAGCTGGTATATTATTGAATCGCTTTTTTAAGTTTTTATATCTTGTATAGATTTCTCCCCTTCAATAGGATAAGAAATCTAATGAATGAGATGCATGAGGAAAATGTTAGATATCAGAGTTGGCTATTTACTAATATAGTGGAGAAGAAGCAGGTATTCGAGTTCTTACTTGGTCTCAACGAGGATCTCAACAAGATATACTTATTAGAGAAGCATCTGCAAGTGTAAGAAGAGAAGAAAATCTAACGAAGTTAATGATAGGCTGAAAAATATACGGAAGTGGAAAGCTCTGCCTTCGCTTCTTAGTCCTCTCACCCTACGGGTAATGAAATGCGTTTTTCTGGAACCCCATCCAATTCTAGAACTGAGAATCATACTAGGAATGGAAAAGAATGATGCTATCATTGTAAGAAGACTGGGCACACCTTAGACGTGTATTGGGAGCTACATGCAAGTCCTAGTGATTGAAAGTCAAGAACCTTGAAGGAAAAGGAGAAAGCTTACTAAGCTTGAGAAACTCCTATAGAAGAAATTACTGGTCCGGAATAGTGTTTATTCACAAAGAAAGAAGTAGCACTTCTCCACAAATTGTTTGGCCAACACAAGCTGGTGCATAACATGAACTAAACCAATGCAGGTACATCATCTATAGCTACTATATGGCCAAAGAGGTAGTTATCAAAAACAACCGAGTATACAAGTCCATGAATTACGGAGTTTGAGCCCATAATCACTTGATAGGGATGTCTCTCTATTTTTTAACTATGCTCCTTGTGAAAATAATTTCAATGTTAGAACTGGCGATGATATCCAATTTCTATTCACTTTCAGCGTTACAAAATGCATCAGTATACAGTCGAAAGAGCATATACACTTAAATTGAGCCTTGGTTCGGGAATATTACAGAATGATTATATTTCCTCTTGGCAATTTAGAATAATATGATTCAAGAAAACAAGCTGAAGGTGTAACTTCAATCTCACAGATTCCTAAAACTGAGCCTCTGGACAATAGTGTGGTTCAAATTTTTAATTTTACAATTAGAAAAAAATGACAAACTACCATG